GAGCTCATTCAGGGATGAAGGACTGGGACTTCTGTGGACACTTGTGCTGGTTTCTTTGGACACTTGTGTTCCTTCAGAGAGCCCCTGGAAACACTCTGCTGTTCACTCCCAGTGCCACCAGTGCCTGGGTCCTGTCTGCAGCAGCAGATTGCAGTGGGACGGGAGAAATGCTTTTCTGAGCCTCTGGGCTGGACACAGGCACAGCCTGACCCTGAACCCAAGGGTCAAAGACAAATTCCACGGCTTTAGCTGGACCAAGGCTGGGGGGGTTTCCTGAGGGCAGCACTACACCAGACTTTTGTGTGTGTGTGTGAGACAGGCAGAAGCACAAATGCCTGCACAGCCCAGAGCAGTCAGTGTGGGGCTGTGCTTGCTGCTGCAGAGACCCCCAGGGAACAAACCCAGGCAATAGTTTGGGTTTATTCCTTGCTCTGTGTCAGTGGAATAGAATGTTCCACAGGAGCTCTGTTCCCCTCTGTGGCACCGGGTGGCTCGAAGCTGAAGGGGGGTGGATCAAGTGCAAGTTCCCTTCTGAAGTGTGTGTCCCTAAGGAGGACACTTGCCTTATTATTGCTTATTATGTGTAATATCTTATAGATATATCAAAGAATAGCTAAAGATGGATTCTATAGAATATGTGCCATATATATGATACAGAATATATGATTATTGCTTTATCTGCCTGTCCAGACAGATATTGTGTATGCAGAGAGATTGTATTTGAGGGATATGTTCCTCTCAATACCCTGTGAGCTCCACTCCCAAGGTCAGCAAATTCCTGAAGCTCCCCCTTCTGTGCCCTGCAGGTTTTGGCAGATTTGCAAGAGCAGGGGAATCATTCCCTGCAGCCCCTTTGCACTGTAGGAAATGGGAGCACTGTGCACATCCTGCTGCCTCCAGATTCCATTCTGGGTGCGTGGGGAGCAAAGAAATGCCTGGTTCTGCAGCAGCTGCAGATGCTCAAGGGGCAGCAGGACCAAGTCAGGGGCCTGGGGGGCTTTGGGGTGCAGGAGGGTCCTGGGGGAGCTGGGGAGGGGCTTTGGGGATTGGGGGTACAAACCAGTACAGACCAGTACCTCCTCACTGCTCCCCAGATCTCTCCTGGAGCTGGGCCACGTTGTCCTGGGACACCTGAGCCCCCCAGTGCCCTCCCAGTACAGCCCAGTGCCCCCAGTACAGCCCACTGTGTTCCTGTCCCAGTGTGCCAGGTGATCCCTTTTTGGGGGGGTTGGAAGGGATTTGAGGAGGGGCTGTGGGAGATTTGGGGGGATCTGAGGAGTTTGGATGGGGATTTGGGGGTTTTGAGTGCCTTTAGGGAAGGTAAAAGAGGTCTTGGGGACATTGGGGGGTCAAAGGTATCTATGGAGGGAGGGGATTAAAGGAAAAACGGGGGTTAGGAGACATTTGGGAAGGGTTAAAAGAGCCTGAGGGGGAAAAGGAGGGGCTGCACCAAGAGCAGGTGAGTCCTGGGACCCCCTCTGGTGTCCCCAAGACCCTCTTAGTGTCCCCAGTTCCTCCCTTGACACCCCAGTTCACCTCCAGTCCCTCCCAGTGCCCCCTGGTTCCCCCCAGTGTGTCCCAGTATCTCCCAGTAATCACCCAGGGCCCTACAAAGCCCCCCAGCTCTCCCCAGTCACAGAAAGGCCAAGGGCATCTGGGGACACACTGGGGAGAGCTGGGGGGCTTTGGGGGGCACTGGGTGATTACTGGGGGATACTGGGACACACTGGGGGGAACCAGGGGGCACTGGGAGGGACTGGAGGTGAACTGGGGCACACTGAGGGCACTGGCAGAGAACTGGGGAGTTACTGGGGGATTACCAGGACACACAGGGAGACACTGGGAGGTTACTGGGCCATAGTGGAGGTTACTGGGTGCTCACTGCAGGATCACTGGGCCATACTGGGGGGCAGTGGGAAGTCACTGGGACACACTGGGTGGTCACTGAGGGGGGTTACGTGGCCATACTGAGGGTAACAGGGAGGTCATTGGGATATACTGGGGGCACTGGGATCCCCTTACCTAGATGTGGTACATCTCCCCGCCTATTTTGGGGGGCATCCCTAGGACTCCTCCCCTGAAAGCTGGGGGACCCCCTGAACCCACTGCTGGGCTTTAGGGGACCCCCCACAATCCCCTCAAAACCCCTGAAATCTCTCCCTCTACCCATCGAAACCTCCTCAAGGATCCCTCATCCCTCCCCAGCACCCTCTAAACCCTCTCAGTGACCTGCAAAACTCACCTGAGACTCCCCAAGCCCATTCAGGGACCCCCAATCCCCCTTACGGACCCTCAAAACTATCTGGGACCCATTAAACCCCTTAGAGCCCCCAAAACTGCCTCGAAGGTCCCCGCAAAGCCCCCCAGGAACCCCAAACCTCCTCACAGACCCCCAAAGCCCACCTGGGACACCCCAAATCTCCTC